GCATAAAACTGTTCTACTCTCTCACAGACTATTTTAACTTTAAACCCGAAAATTTATGTTAAGAAATATTTTCAGCTATGGTGATGCTATGTAGTAATTATGAATATTCCTAAATTTATTTTTTAAATCAAGCAGAACAATAGGACCTATGAATAAGTTTTTATTTCAACTGTAAAAATCTGGCACTTGAGCAAATTATTTTTAAAAAGGAATATAAAGTTCTTCAGGTCTAAATTAGGTTCAACTCAAATATAAAACTAATCTATATTATCAGTATAACTGAAGTGATTAAACAAATACTTTTCAAATTTATCATCAGCTATTATAGAAAAATATATCAAAAAATTTAAAACTTATATATTAGTAATAATAAATAGTGAAAAAAATTTTTGATAGAAAAGATTAAGAATATTTGATAAATTATTATTTTTGCTTTTTTATAAATAATCTAAGTTAAGTTTATTAAGAATTAAAAAGTAAATCCATTTTTTGAAAATCAAAAATATATTAAAATTCTGATCAGAGTTCTGCAGATTTCTAGATAATTAAAAGACAATTGCAATGTCACCATTAAATTTCCTACTTTGTCCATTTTAAAATATTAGTAATTTATATACTCAAAATAAAGTTATTTTTCGATTTGATAATTAAAAGCAATATTTATTTTCTATTTGAATTGGTAAATTTAGAAAAATAAATGTCTTTCCATCATTGATTTCAAATTTAATATATAGAACACTATAATTTAATACAAGAAAAATTAATTAATAAAGTGAAACAAATCTAATAATAAAATAGTACTCTTGAAATTTTCAGTGTTTAAGAAATTATTTGAAGCAAAAATTTGTATTTTTTGATATTTACTCAATAAAAAATTCATATAAAAAAATATTAGCAGAAAATCTTAGAATCTGATTTTTATTTTTTAAGTAGAAAGATGTAAGTCCAAAATTAAATTTAATTTGAATATTATAGATATTGAACTCTAGAAATTGGATATCTAAATAAGGACTATCAAAAAGATTTATAAATTGATGTCATAAAATAGATTTAAAATGAAATATGTATTTAGATAAGAATAATGAATTTGTTGATATAAATTTAAGATATAAAATACAGAAGAATCTTTTTTAAATCCTTTATTACATTATATGTCTATCTTTTATTGAATATGTAATAAATTTAACTATAATTAATATAGTCTTTTAATTTGCTTTAACCGATTATTATATGCATATATTGATATAATTTAACAATCAGTAATCATCTGTTTCAGTACGTTGATCATCATCAAATTCAGATTGATTCTCAAAAATTGAGGCTTCTGAAAACTCTGAAAAATCATAAGTTTAGGATGATGTTATCGACTCAAGGTCATTTATTACTCTAATTATCAATTATCTAATCCTTTCAATTTACAAATCTTAAGAGGAGGATTAGGAACTATAATATGAGGTATGTGAGTATTATGAAGAAGATTCCAATGATTCTTAATGCGAAGATGAATTGGATTAGGAAAATGATTGAGATTCAATCTATAATTGTTGATATAGTTATATCAATTATTAATATTATTGTTAAAGTCTTGAAATTTAATGCATAGAGTCAGTATTGACAAAGGTTGGGAAATTCAATTCAATTCCTTCAAACAAATTTAACTTACAAATTTCTACCGCCAATTATATATCAGATTCTTAGCTTCCTTATACAAATTCATATTTATTTGATGGTGACATAAGCCCAATAAATTGATTGGTTATCTTAAAGCATTCATCTTCTTGATATAAAAATATTTAGTTCTCTTTTGATTATACTTAATGTAGATTTCTTTTTTGTTCAAAAATTAGATTTCGTTACATCTTTCTAATTTTATTGCTATAAATTTCTCTACGATCATATACAATCTCTAAGACATCTATTTGATAATATTTTTATGATGCATTTTCTTATTAGTAGGTTTAAAAATTGTAATTGATGTGATATATATTATTAAGCTCTTATCGTATGCAATACTCTTCAATTTTTTATTGTCTAATTATTTCAAATTATTCAATAATCTCCTATTAATTTTTTTCCATTACCAGCCAGAATAGTTTTATTAAAAATAATATTAAATCTCAGTGTTATCAAGAATTCTTATAAATAGTAATTATAAATAATATTTAATCATAGGATTTTTAAATAACAAGTCAAAAATAACCAAAAATTCAATAATAACTTACAAATTGATCTAAGTAAATAATTCAAATAGTTAAAAAACATTTCAATTAACTAAAATATAAAATCAATTATAAATTTAAGATCCTATCTTAGTATTAACAGCTTTTTTCAATAAATTTGTTTGTATCCTCTTAAGGATCTTAAGCTGAAATACCTACTCAATCTTTTTTTCAGCATTCCATTCTTAAAGATAATCAATAATTTCAATATGGTAAAAATACTCCTTTTCCTTTAAGGAAGGTATATAACTTAAATATGAATTAAATAACTTTGAAATCTAATACTTATTATTTATATCCATTTAAAGGTTATTTTATAAAAGAGTTGACCAATTAATTATAAGTAACGAATAATAAATTCGATTTAATTCTGAAAATTATTTTGTATTTTTAAATAAAATATATTGTAATTTATCTTTAATATTTTCAGGAATGAAAAATTAGCCTTCCTCCCTTTAAAATCAATATCTTTGAACTTAGTCTTTGCCGAATCCTTATTAATATCAATATTATTTCAAGACCTTTCTTTAATACTCAACTTTAGAAAATTTTTGGAGCATTAACGGTAATAGTAGAAATCATTAACCTTAAGGTGGAATAAAGAATTAATTTTTCTTCATTTATTTCTTCCTAAATTATTCATCCAATTATGATTCATTTTTGGATTATTGGATTCTTTAAATAAATATTAAACTGTTCAATTATTTTCATTATAATCATCCTATTTAAATGATTTAGCTGAATTTTCATATTGTAAAGAATATTAATGCAATCATATCGAAATTTCGTGCAATTAAGTTCAACTGAGATATAGCTTATTGCTTGAGTTAATTATATTACAAAATCAAACTATTAGATATGAAAAGAGAGAAGAGAGTTAATTTCTTATCATATTAAAAATCTTTGATTTTCAAGGACAGCCTTCTTGATATATAGTATTGTATAAACTGAAATGAAAGGGTTTACAAAAACTAACCAAGCCAAATTAAATCTATGATTATACTTTAAATTACAAATGTCAAATAATGATAATTCATAGAAATTAACAGAACTATGCAATAGAATTAAGTATGAGAGATAATCTTTTCCTTGCCATAAACTATTCCTTCAGAGTTATTCTTACATAAGGACATAATATAAAATTATAAGTGAACAAATATGCTTACCATTGAATTTATTTAGCAAAATAATTTATCACTTAATGGACTAATCACATGAATCATAAATTTAAGAGAGGCTCACAAAAGGAAATAAAAATATGATAATTCCAGCATTTTATAAGTCTTCAGATTAATAAT